TCTCCTCGCTTCGCCTCCGTGTCGGTTTCGCAGGTCGACCGCGACGCGATCGTATGACCGTGGCTCCTCTGCTCTCTCCTGGAAGCCGACGCAAGCGAATGTGTCGGAGCCGATGACGTCCAGACTCATCTCTTCGGCGACCGTCTTCCTGATATAGGAAGCGTCGGACCCACCATCCAGCAGGGCTCTCAGCATCTTAGGCCCACGTGGTCCTCTGCCCACCACCAGCGCAGTTTGAATGTAACACTGTGATGTAGTACGCTGAGCTGCGTAGCGCATGCTGGGATGGGAGTGCTGGCCGTGGCTGGAAGTGGAAGGTTCTGGCCGTTGATTTTGAGAGACTGATTGATGCGTGCTAGCTGTTGGAGGTACCAGCGCGGGAGGTGGTACAGCAGGACTGTAGGGAACAGAGCTGGCGAGAGGAGCAGGTGCAGGCTCTGGAGCTGGGGCTTGGTGACGATGCAGAGAGGTATGGTGTGGCCGATGACAGTGTCTGCATGTGCCACTCCGGCAGTCTCGAACATGGTGTGAGCCGAGACACTGAAAACATGCTCCTGCACGTTTCACTGCCACCCATCTGTCGTCAACAGGCATCTGCAAGTACTGGTCGCATCTGTCGATTCGGTGCTGCCCTTCCTTGCAGATGTGACAGCTCCATCTTCTCTTTGAGTTCGAGGTGACACGTTGTGTGTTGAGAACACTGGTTGTCGCCCTGTTGGCTGGCTGGCTCGACTCCTCCCGCGTCTTCTGACACAGCACCTGGACGGACTCCTCCTGACATTCCACCTCTTGTTGGAGGAATCTGAGGAATGACTCGAACTCAGTGTTCTCGTCATCAGTGGCTCGCTCGCGTCTCAGTCGTGCCCACTGCAGCCTCCAGGAGGCTGGGATTTTGCCTTTGAGGACCGGAAGCAGCACCTCTCCGATGTTGGTGATGTCGAGGGCTCTCAGTGACCGGACTCCTGCTGTCACCTCGTCAGTCAGCTTCCGCAGGGATTTGATGTTGTCGGCGTCAGTCACTCCAGGTAGACTGAGCAGTTTTGCGACCAGCGTGTCTTTTCGGACGTCGTCTTTGCCGAAGCGGTGTTGCAGAATTCGTACTGCTTCTGGGTAGTTTTCAGCCGTCAGTGGCAGGCCCTGAATGGCCCGGGCTGCATCTCCATCGAGGTGTTGCTTCAGGTAAAAGTATTTCTGAACAGGCGAGTACGCCAAGTTTCTGTGCACAGATGCCTCGTATACCTCCCAAAATTCGGGCCAGGCGAGAACATCGCCGTGGAATTTTGGGAGATTGAAGTCGATCTTGAAGGTCGCCTGGTGTTGAAAGTTCGGCGTCACAGGCGCTGCGGCTTGTTCCCGCAGGTCCGATAGGAGGCGTTTTCCCAGTCCGACAGCTCGGTGCAGGTCGGCGATGTGAGTGGACTCGGCGTCCTCTATGCCGGCATCCCTCAGCTGGGCTTCGAGAGTTCCTAACAGCGTCAGGTGACTCTCGCCGATTTCGATGGCGTAGTCCAGCTCGTACCGGGCAGGGCTCTGGTTGTCCTCATGTACTTGTTTAAATAGAGATTTTAGTTCATTGATTTGTTTAGTTGCTTTGCTTCGGTCTTTGGTGCGTTTCGCCTTCAGTGACTCAATGTCTGTGTTGGGGTCTGGCTTACCCATCTCTCTCTATATGCTGGTGATTGATCACTATAAGCAAACCTGGTGGAAATGCTCCCAGTGATCCGGCCCCCGGAGGACTATGTCGTGGCCGCTACCCCGTGTTGATGTTGAAAGGTCGCCCTGCACGTCGAAACTTGGAGCGGCCCTGCCGCTGTCCACAGAGAGTGGCCCGAGTTGGTACCCTACTGTGGCGGGGGACGTGCAGTCGAAGTGGGTGTGGAGAGCTTTAAGTGGACTGTATCATTTTAGAGGATGGACTAGCCGACTGATCACCGCGACCGCCAGGTCAAAGCTGTACTTGGCACGTCTTGTATTGTCGAGAGCCTTGTCGGAGAAACCTCCGCACAAGTCTTACTCATGCGTGCCGAAAATCAAGACAAATCAAGAACAAGACATGAGCTGGTTAGACACTTGCCAGCAGAGACAAACACGAATCCAAGAACGAGTCAGACGCATCGAGCCGTCGAACATGAGCGCATCCCGCTGCTGTGCGCGATTGTATGTCGTGTGTTAACCCTGAGGTGAAACGGCGCTATATCCGGAGTTAAACTGGAGCTAAGGCAGATTAAGAGAGGATAACTATGGGAAATTGCTAAGGAAACTTTACGAGTAGGTTCGACCGAACGGCCGAAACCATACTCCGTAGAGATGCAAACGTATTAGATTTAGGGGGAATACTGGCATCAAAATGGTCGTCCACAAGGGCGAACCACCAGTATTAGATTATTGGGACGGCCTCAAATCGCCGGAGCGACGCCCGAGCTCAGAGAGCACGTGTCCGGACGGGCACGTACCGCGCAGAGATCGAGAGCCGACTGACTGCCGCTCCCAGTCCCAACCCCAGGTCAGTTCGGCCGGCGCCTGGGGCTAGCCGCCCGGCCCGGCCCTCCGATTGGCCGGCGCTACAGCGAGCGCGGGCAGCGGCCGGCGGAGCGCCCACCAACGCGATACAAGGCACACAAGCATCACAGCCCCGTGGTACGCGACGTAATAACAAACAAAACAATCAATAACAAGTAACAACACAAATACACTTCTTACGCGGCGGCACACCAAATCACGCCGGGACTGTCGCCGATGGGTCCCGACGGGGAGGGTAGGGGAGAACGCCTCCGCCGCACCAGAGCTGCCGGTTTTACTGCGCGCGGGGCCCACACTCCACATAGGCACCCACTAGGCACTACATATCCATGTGCCAGAGTTGGGGTGCTGCTGCACGTGCGCACGTGCAGGGGTCGTTTCCAGATCTCGAGAACGGCTCGACCGATTGGGCTCAAATTTGGTACACAGTTAGGGACCGTTTAGTAGGGTGCCGTGCACAAGTCAGTTGGGACCCATTTTGCACGTGCGCACGTGCAGGGTGCCTCTTCCAGATCTCGAGAACGGCTGGGCCGATTGTGCTCAAATTTGGCACATCGCTAGAGACCGGTTAGTAGGGTGCCGTGCACAAGTCAGTTGGAGGTACCCCTTCGAAATTTCGCACGTGCAAGGCTCACCCTCTCGCTCGCTCCGTTAGTCGCCCCAAAAGGCGTTATACTAGTTGGTATTTGGTTTGGTTTCGGTATCACGATTTTCCGTAATTGACATTACTAGGCCTGACCTTGACCTGATCTTGACCTGACCTTGACCAGAACATAATCTTAACTGACCCCAAAGGCTGTCTGACCCACATAATCGCATTTGGCATATAAAATGGACCATAAAACATGCATCACATGATATTTTCATATTGTGACCCTCAGTGACCTGACATCTGTGCCCTGGCCTGGTATCAGTGACCTTAAATAGCAAAATATGTGTTTGACAAGCAATAGCCCATCGATGATTTTAAATGAAATGCACTTAGCTCGATATTACAACGCATTTTTTGAAATGCCTGCAAACGGTGAAAATTCGACATTTGACCTGACCTGTGACGTCATCGGTTTGACCTAGGTCAATGAAATTGGGTCACAAGCTAGTTCCCTGTTGGGCTATCCAACGCCGTTTGCTGCTTGTCGCTATGTTGCGTGGTTCTCGAGATCTTAGGGGGGCAAATTGCCCCCCCCCCAGCGGGGCGCGTTGCTCGGCAGACCCCAACTGGGTGCGGGTTAAGATATCGTACACACTTGTCGATAGACCTCTCTTACAGGACATCGACTAACAGGTAAAAGAAAACTTTTTTCTTTTATGACATAGATATAATGGACCCTCTGTTAAATTTCTCTTAGTTTTACTATAATACCTAATACTGGGCTTCTCAAAAAAGTTAGACGGATTTCTTTTGCGAATAGAGGACCCCTAACAACATTTAAGCAAAATCAATGCACGTGGAAAAACGGAGAATTTTTTTGTAGATTTATATCAAGATTACTTTACTACTCATGGATTTATATGACACCATGGTTTGAGCTTAAAAAATGAAGCCGTGGTCTTAGGAAGTAAAAGCAAAACTCGTGAAATTATGCTTTCCCAGACTAAGTCGGTCGGTTCGACACCACGATAGATCCGCAAACACTTTCGGGCAAAGACAGCAACATCTTGAAACAAAATTTTCTACATTATTGACAAGTTTCTGGCTCGAGGAAGTGTTAACAATAGGTTCACGCAATTCAAGGAACACAGCGGCGGCCATAAACCCAATCAAAGGCTCACGGCGAACACCACTCGTGTGAGAGATGCGCTACTCAGACTGTCAATGGTCAGCGATATCGGGTGGCTCTGCAGCGACGTTTTGGAGGGTTCTGCAATATCAGGATGAGCAGAGATCCGGAAACGCTTAAGATCCAATGGTTCCAGCAAGACGGTGCCACGCCAATACCGCTAAAGAAAACCGAGAGGGGCTGTGGGAGCGTTTCGAGCAGCGCGTGATCTCGAGGTTCGAGACACGCCCGTGGTCGGCGAATTCCCCGAACGTAACCCCACCGGACTTTTTCCTATAGGACCACCTCAAGTCCCAGGTGTACCGAAACCACTCAAAAAGTTCCGAAGATCATAGGGATGCAGTGAAGTCAGCGGTGTGCCGTCTGCAGCTTTCCGTGGGTCGTGTTGCAGCAGAGGTCGCGCTGCGCCGGGCTAAACTGTGCATCGAGCAAACAGGGAATCATCTCGAACAAGACCTCGGCGCGGCTCAACAAGGCGACTGCCGAGGATCGAAATCCCCTCAAACGAAATGTCTTTGATGAGGCTTTTAGGTGATACCCAATTATGTGTTGTTGCACTGATGCACCCTTCAATACGTTAGTTATAAAATCGTCTAACTTTTTTGAGAAGCCCGGTAGTAGGTCGTACTGCCATCGGTGGATGATTTCGCTACTGAAAATCTCACTCCTCTGGTGTATCGTTTTCTTTTGTCAACTGACCTGTCTACCAACGTGAAAGGGATATCGGCCGGAGAGCAGCGCGCTTCTAGAGGGAGTGCAGAGCGGCTGGGCGTAGTTCTGCTCCAGAATGACGCCCTCTCTCGCCAGAGCCTCGAGCGTCGGGGACAGGATGTCGGAGTTGTGCCACGACACGTCATTGTAACCTGAAAAGCAAGTAAGCTTGGTGTTTTGCGTAGAAATCGTAGAATAACAGCGATGTGCGTTTGGTCGGATTTGGTTTAGAATGGTCGCGAAGTTGCTAACTTTCAGGGCAGCCCGAATTAGTGATGAACAAGGCCACGCTGATTGTTTTAACGCTAGGTTGCGCCCATATGCGAACATTGCACAAACGATTTTTGATCTCACAGATGGCTTCTTAGTCACGGTCCATATTTTTGGAGACGATCTTACTACCGTCCCTAAGTACATACTAAGTAATCAGGTCTCGTACCCTTCTCATACTCGATTAAAGTAATGTACCAAATTTGAGCGCAATCGGCCCAGCCGTTCTTGAGATATAAAAGCGGCCCGCTGCACGTGCGCACGCGCTAACTGAGACTCTAGATGACTTGTGCCAGCCACCCTTCTAAATTGTTCCTAACGGTGTACAAAATTTGAGCGAAGTCGGCCCAGCCGTTCTTGAGATGTATAAGTGGACCCCTCACGTGCGCACGTGCAATCGATCCACCCTACCTGTCACAAATGACCATGCATCGCCGGATGAGTGCCCCCTCCACCCACAGTCCAAGTTTCAGCGCAATCGGCCCAGTAGTAGCTGAGTTATTCCTAGTACAAAAATGTGCTGTTTACTGGAAGGCGCTTATTTTCAGTGTTTGGAATTCCCCTTGGCGGGCGGTGTAATATATTCCTGCCCGGGGCCGGGATGATTCAATAAATGTCACCGAAGTTTTTTAGCGAAAACTCCGAGGGCCGTTAGGCCCGAGGTGCTTTTCGCTAAAAAAGCGAGGTGACATTTATTGAATTCCCGGCCTTAGGGCTGGAAGGTGTTTCCCATACCTGCCAAAAAGCTCACAACTATAATTGATAGTGACGTCAGCAGCCGTGTGGTTCAACGCGTTTAACCACACCTCTTGAACCACACGGCTGGCAATATTAAAGCACTGGATTAAACTTTGAAAAGTGTGGTACAGTGCACGTGCCATTAAAATGCCTGGATGTCTCGATTTAATGATGCAATGTAGCAGGTATGGGAAATTGCAGCCCATGCTTTGATAGCTATTGTCAAAAGTTGAATGACTTGCCGGCCATAAGCCATCAATCGGATTTTGTCGAAAAAATACCGGTAACGTTAACAAAACACGGTCACATGCTTAAGTCATTTTCACAAAAGTTTATTGACTTTTCGATAATATTTTGGGTGGATAATGGTCAGAAAAGAATGCTCTTTCCGAATATGTAGGTTTCATAGCCATTGGTCAGCGTTTTCAATACGTTTTGATGTTGTAAAGGACATCGCGCTCCGCGCGAATCAAATTTTCCAATTAATGTTTCATTATTAAGGAAATGGAACGGATCATCACTTTTTATGTGCTATCCTCTGATTACACGTACATTTGCCTGCAAAATGGTACCACACCGATTTCATTCCATCAAGCCGTTTTCCAGCGGCATCGATTTTCCCGTCACAATGCACGAAATCGGTCATTTTTTCACAACTGGGGGTGCTGTCTTGCACGTGACGCGTGCTATGCTATGAAACCATATCGATACGCTAGTTCCATCTCTCCTCTATCCAGTGGTGACAACCCCGTGTCGCTGCGACTCTCCGTTGCCGATTTATACAGCCGGGAAGCGGGCGCCGCAGGCCGTTTTTCGCCCGATCTTCGATTTGACCGTTTCCCGTGTTAATTAACCCTTTGGCGCACGCGAGCGCGTGCTGACGGCGCACCCCTGGGCCAATCCGTTCCAAATTTTAATACAGAGGTGACATCAACCCAATATATATGTATAATAATGACATATATAATGAATATATATGTATTTATGTATAATAATGATATATGTATAATAATGACAATATATATGTATAATAATGGTATTATACATACTTAGTATGTATAATAATACTTAGTATGTAAATAGTATGTACAGGTCTCGCGAGATTAAGCGGTAGGTTTTGCACTTTTGCTTTTCCGGTTATATCTCAGAAACTAAACGATCTACGATGAAGCCATTTTACATCATCATGGCCGGCTTGTTACCCAACAAGTCGATCGCATCTTCAACACTTAAAGGAAATAGTTCACTTTCACGAAATTATTTTTTTTTGCAATGGATTTATGATTTTTTATGTTCAAAATGATCAGCAAAGAAAATAAAACCTATTTATAACAAAAGATTATTTTCTATATTTTGATATAAGAAGAACTTTTCAGTTTCTGTAAGGCACAGGCGATCCAGTATGAAAAGAGCATGGGTTCCGAAAATTCTTCAGAAACTAGAGAAATTATCGCGGCCACCGGCATTTGGGCGATCTGCTGCTGCTGAATGTCCTTATTGATCAGTACGAGAATTTCTCTTGAGTTCTCGTAGATAATTTCACTAGTTTCTGAAGAATTTTCGGGACCCATGCTCTTTTCATACTGGATGCGAATATATGCAAGGCACACATCCTCAACGCAATACACCTTTTTCGGGACGAGAAATAGAATATCTTTGCCTAGGGTGATCGTTGGGCTGTAAAAGCTCCTGATTTATGCTCGTCTCAGCCCAAGCTACGGAACTGCTATTCCAGTTCAAAACCCATGTTAAAAAGTGAACTATTTCCTTTAAAAGCTTAAGACGACGAAGATATAGCCTGAAGTACACTAAATTTTCTAGGTGCAAATCCTACCGCTAAAACCCGCGAGACCTGTACGTGCCAAAACATTGTTCAAGTAGGGATGTTGAAATTCGGTCTTGAGTGAAGTTGTGCCTTATTTATTTGTACCTTGTGATCAGTGATTCAGCCCGGCCGCCGGCTGAGCTTCCCGGCCAACGCGCGGCCGCTGTATTGCGGCACAGCATCTCTCGCTGGAGCGGGGCTGTGCGGCGCGGACACGTGCAGTGATTGGTCGGCCGCAGAACACGTGATTGTGAAGCGAGGTCGAGTGGGGTCGCGCCGGCGGAGGGCAGTCGGGCAATGTCTGTTGTCGCGGCTGGTGCGTTGGGACCTCGAATGACATATGCGTTTGCTGGGGACGTCGGCAGTCTTGTCTGAGTGGCATTCTGTCGGCTTACTCCGCGACGCATATACATTCGAGGGTTAAAATTTGGAGCTATGTCTGACCGGCTAGCTTCCACAGACGCTTTTTGGGCCCAACCACCGATAACACAGCGCCGTGAATTTGTTAGCTGTGACAGTCTGAGTGGCTGATCGGCGAGAACGTTCACGGAGCTGTCTGTATCAATCGAGCGTGCCATGTACGGACGCTTTGTTACACGGCAACCCCCCTATTCAGGGAGGCTATTTACGGGTTGGGGGGCTATAAACGCGGCTCTCATTTCGTAGGTTTCTCTTGGTTTGGGTGTCGCGTTTGTACTGGGCCGAGTTGGAGCCCTGCCCTGCTATGGCTGTTGATTTTGTTGTCGACCAGAAATACATCCGCCTGGTGTATCTATACTTTCTTTGAGGTGCAATCGTAACAAGGTATGTACATTGTACAATGCTTTTAATGTTTTACATCAAAACAAACACAATCTATTGATAGTCTCACCGAGGTCATCTGCCAGAATGAAGACGATATGTGGCTGGTTTGTGTTGGCGCCGTCACAGAGTGCCGGCACCAGCACCAGCCCTATCACCAGCACCAGTTGAGCGGGTCCCAGCCAGCCCATGTTGTCTGCGGTTGGCAGCTCTGCCGCGGCGTGGCGGCGGGCCGGGCGGTGGAACTGTATCTGAGAGGTCCCAGGAACCGGAGACTGGGAGCTGACAGGTGTGATGACATTATCAGCGATACATGATAGCCTGGCTCGCGTACTTCTCGGGTAGTCGCGACCTCCCAGATATGGGAACAGAGGATATGTTTCATGAGTGGTGAGGTCATTGACAAACACGAGTGGGCACTTTATCCCAGCCACCGTGCTATCGATTGTCACATGTCTCCATTACTAGGACCTCCGATTATTGTTGCATTTATATTTTTTAGCGCTTACCTCAGCCAGGTTTATTTTCACGATTTTGGAAACAATGTCACTCAGTCACGCACATCTGCCTACTGTCGTTCAAATGTCATTTTTCTGCCACGAGAAAACCCTGCACCACTGTCAAGGCCTGTAATAACCCGAAACCTCTTATCATCCTGCACAAAACAGATCTTCAATCGACGGAAAAAAGCATGATCTTGCGTGCTTTGGTCTTTGCGTTCCATTCAAAAATACGTAGATACGCACTAAACCGTGTGCTGCCTCGATAGCGCCGCACCTGCCGGCTCCCATTGCCTGAAAAGTGGGAACTCACGGCTCGCATGCAGTTCCACCGCCCGGTCCGCCGCCACAGACGAGGCAGAGCTGCTCTGGTGCGGCCCGCAGACACCATGGGCTGGCGGGGACCGGCCCAGCTGGTGCTGGTGGTAGGGCTGGTGTTGGTGCTGGCACTCTGTGACGGCGCCACTACAAACCAGCCGCATATCGTCTTCATTCTGGCAGATGACCTCGGTGAGAGAAATTATACCTGTTTATACCTATTAACGGTTTATGCCGACGTAAAGGAAAAGTAAATGCATGCCACTTTCATCGTTTATTTGAATTTATTCGTTAGATACCTCACTTGATGCCTCCATGATAGTTTATCATTTCTTGTTTACTGACAAGTAACAATTTACGATGGCCATTAAAAAAGAGCCGTTGATGTATAAAGCTGGTACATTTTTTTCATACCCTTACCCAATCTACATGGACAATCTCATCACCGTTTCAGGTTATAATGACGTGTCGTGGCACAACCCCGACATCCTGTCCCCGACGCTGGAGGCTCTGGCGAGAGAGGGTGTCATTCTGGAGCAGAACTACGCCCAGCCGCTCTGCACTCCCTCCAGAAGCGCGCTGCTCTCCGGCAGATATCCCTTTCACGTTGGTAGACAGGTCAGTTGGCGGCCCTTTCACGATGGTAGACAGGTCACTGGTGGCGCAGCCGGTTAAGGCGTCGGCCCGCGGTGCGGGCGGTGCCGGGTTCGGGTTCGATTCCCGGTTCCGCCCGTTCCGCGGGCGTCGTCCCCGGCTGTGTCACGTGTGGGGTAGGCTCTCACTTCAGCCGTACTGGGGGGGGGGGGGGGGACAAGGGCCAGGAGGAGGAGGAGCGTTCCTGTAAATGGGATACAAGTGCCCGTTGGAGGGAGGCCTGAATAAAAAAAAAAAACGGCAGCGTTCTATTCACATGACATGAAGATAAGGCAGGGCGTGGAGGTATGATACGAGACGACGTGCTGAGGCAACTTCCAATCGATAACAGCATTCCAATTCGATAGCAGCAGTTGTTACGCGGCCTACAGCCAAGAATTTACAACACACCGTAAACAGTAGCGCTTGAGAATAGGTACCAAGATTATAAAGTGATTTCAGGCGGCTAAGACATTGCCCATATGTCTTAATTATTCGTATTGGTAATGCGGAAAGGTTATCAATTGTATATATTAATTCAATTGTAATCAATTGTAAACACCATATATAGGGGAGAGTGGGGTAAGATGCCCAGGGTGGGAAAGACGCCCCACCCCCTCTAGCGGGGAAACAAAGAATCGAACCTGGAAATTAATGTTCTTAGCGTAAAGCGGAAGCCTGCCTTGTTAACCGCACAAAAATTTGCGAAGCTCAGTTGGGCAACGGCTGGCTGGTGATTGCATGTTTTTTATTTGCTGCTTTCAAAAAATATTTTGGCGTCAAAACATTGTAAATATCAAAGAAGGTAGATAATTTTTGCGTCCCTTGCTAAAGTCGTGATACATTAACATGCGTGTACTGTGTCCCAAACAGTTTGTTTCAGGGTGTAGTTTTATGGCTAACGAATTGTGCTGATTTAATGTTACTTCGGTACCTTGGGGTAAGATGCCCCCTGTCCTGATGGGGAAAGACGCCCCCCTAAATCCGTAGGCTGTCCTTCAAGCAGCCCGTCAAATCATTTATTACATACTTGTGATGAGAGACAAAAGCCGATCTGGGACTATTGAGAGTCCGGTACGGTCGAGTGCTCCCCATGCCGGTCTCTCGGCCCACACAGCGACTTTTTGGGCGGCATCTGACTCTGAGAGCCCTCACGACGACCTCTGTGGGCCCCATTATTGGTTCCAGGGCCCCTCACGACATCCTTTGAGGGCTCCCACGCTGGCTCCACGGGCCGCGCTGGCATCTGAGGTCCCCACGATGGGCTTGAGGGCCCTCAAGCATCATGAAGACCTATAAGGGCCCCACAGTGGTCTCCGAACGCCACCACGGAGGCTTGTTTGGCCACGCTGGACTATGTTGGCCCTAACGATGACCTCTGAAGCCCCTTACGACTACTTTTGAGGGCCGTTACGATGACGTTTGGTGTCTACTGCAGGCTCGAAGGGACTACTGATTCGTTCAGGCGTTTCACGTGCCTATTTTATGTCACTTATAGTGCAGGGGGGCATCTTACCCAACGCCAGGGGGCGTCTTTTCCACCCTGTGGGGTAAGATGCCCCCTTTCACTTCTTCAGGAAAATGCTTAATAGCAAAAAAAGTTATCATATTTCAGGCACGAAAGTGTGATATTTTTGGAGAAAAATGATGTCGGCTTCCGTTGAAACTCCAAGTTTTGGCTTTCCGATCGTCACTTTCGAATAATATATGACATAGTCAAACCCTGGGCATCTTTCCCCACTCTCCCCTACCTATAATATATGGTGTTTTGAACCATTGAACACAAATCTTCGATTTAGATAAGGTACTAACTAAATTCAAACACAACGGCGGCATGGCATTGCTGACCGATGGCTAAAAAAACTTCCAGGACCCAGGCATGAGCGAGACGACTGCATCACCATTTCTCCCTGTTTTCTTTTCGCACAGGATGGCGCCCTGGATCCGCACATGCCGACGGGTCTGACCCTCAACGTCACGCTGCTGCCGGAGCGGTTGAGGTCAGCCGGCTACAGCACACACATGGTCGGCAAGTGGCACCTGGGCAACTGCGCACACGAATACTTGCCGCCGAACCGCGGCTTCGACACCTTCCTGGGCTACTGGTGCGGCATGATAGACTACTACACACACAGGAGGAGCGGCTCACTCGACTTCTTTGACGGCGAGCGGCCGCTGTTTGAGCTGGACGGCATCTACTCGGCATCTGCTTTCACCGACCGGGCAGAGAGCATCATCAAAGGGCACGACCCCAGCCGGCCGCTGTTTCTCTATCTGCCCTTCCAGAACGTTCACACACCATTGGAGGTTAGTCGATAATTAGAGATTGTTTGGCTTTCTCGTGAAACGTTCACAAAATATAAAAGATCGCTTGGTATTGTATCGACCCTCTATGAATGCTGATGATACACAAGCGTGTTGTATGCATCGTCACACATTTTGTACGGTATGGGTTTGCCGTGACTATGAAGCTGTTGGGCCCTATACGACCTCCGGTGTTGCAGGCGCCTGCCGAGTACGAGGAGCTGTACCCGGCCACGATGAACGCCGCCCGGCGCACCTACAGTGCCATGGTAACCGCCTTGGACGACTCGGTCGGACGGGTGGTGCAGGCCCTCAAGGATGCCGACCTCTACAGCAACTCGGTGATTCTGTTCGTGAGTGATAACGGAGGACAAGTGCATAGTCACCTTCACAGTCAAAATCTGTACGACGAAGACAGTCGAGACGGCTACGGAGGCAACAACTTTCCTCTGCGAGGGGAGAAAACAACCCTTTGGGAGGGCGGCACCCGCACGCCGGCCTTCATCCACTCCCCGCTGCTGGAGCGGGCCGGCTACGTCAGCCACGAGCTGATCCACATCACCGACTGGATGCCGACGCTGCTGCGGCTGGCCGAAGCCAGCGCCGACGGAGACCCTCTGGACGGCTTCGACCAGTGGCCCATGCTGAGCGCCGGCCAGCCCAGCGCGCGCACAGAGATGGTCTATAACATCGACGAGAAGCTGCCGAACGCGGCACTGCGCATCGGCGACATGAAGCTGCTCTGGGGAGACAACTCCGGCTCCAGCGACTGGTACCCGGTGCTGGAGGCCCTGCCGGACTCCTCCGATCGCGCTCCGGCCAGCGCGTGGCGATCGGTCCGCTCGAGTCTCGGCAGTCTCGGCGAGTACCCGGTCTACCTGTTCAACGTGACGGCCGACCCGACCGAGCGCCTGGACCTGTCGTCGCTGATGCCGGAGACGGTGCAGGCGATGCTGGAGCGTCTGCTGGAGCTGTCGAAGGAGCTAGTGCCGGCCGACGTGCCCTTCCCCGACCCGCGTGGTCACCCGGTGGACGGGGTCTGGACCACCGGCTGGTGTGAGCCCTACTGAGTAAATACTTGGAGGTTTTCATCACGCAGGACGAGTGCTAAATACAGGAACCATTAACCAAACAGAATCGCCGAACTAGTTATGTGCTTACGATGACAGCTGACAATTGGATACGTGTTCCTGACGAAAAGTTCCAAGCTTCTTCATTGTCGGCTCCCTTTTTACCGAAAATAGATCTGCTGATCCAGTTTCATAAGACTTTGGCATTCATTATAAGACGCAGCTCTTAGCTGGATTTGTCATTCCTTGTCGTGTTACATAGGTATTCTTTTCCAGCAAGATGTGATAACATTTTACACACATACAAAACTAGGTTATATGTGCTGCCATCCATGCAGTGCTTCTAAATATCAGTCATTCAAAAACTCCGTAACCGTTTCACTGTAATAGTACCTCAGCTGTCTATCACATAAGCGAAAAGGTAAGATATTCCATCTTGACTCCTTAGCTCTCTGCATGCATAAATCATCCTGAAAAATGGAATGCTGTATGCACTTCACATAGCTTCTTTGATCGCCTACTAATCGAGACCCTTGTAATTTCCAACTGAACCAGCTTCAGGTCCCAAGTGAGACGCCGCTAATGATTCCAGTTCCGTCACCATACAGGGTTTTCGCCGTTACATTCCTGGTTGTTTTCGGCCGTTCGGAGCGGCGGTATCACCCGAGAAGGCGAAGAAGGCGGTGCCCGGTCGGTCCGGGGCTGTCCCCTGGAAGGGCCCGAGTGGTTGCGGCCTCCGAAGTTGTGTGGAAGCTGGTTAAAAAGGATAATGGGAATAGGAAAAGCCGTTTGTCGTTTCTGTCTTAAACGTAACTGGAGATTATTGGAAACGACAAAGCCAAGGACAATAACAAAGGTCGACTGAGTTTAGAAATAAATATCTTGCTTCAGCTGTGTTCTCCTAGGATAAGGGAAATTCGACAGCTCCAAGGACAAATTTATGTAGCCGTGTCAACGAGCTGGCCGAGTTGATGACAGTGCAGTCAACTCAACAGCTTTTTGTGACCTCCGCGAATTTACCTGACCCACCCGAGTTGCGTCTCGCTGTGCGCCGTCGCGCCGGTGCAGCCTGCGCGGTCCGGCCAGTTCCGCCCCCGCCGCCGCCGAGCCCGACCTCTACTACCCAGCCGGAGAGGCCCGGCGAGCGGTGGGCGGACGCTCAAGCCCAGTAGTCAATTACGGCGCAGTGGCGACAATAGCGGCGCAGCACAGTCACAATGGCGCGCCGCCCTCGTCGCCGCCGCTGCCAGGCATTTATCTTGGCGAAGCACGATAAAACAGCGCCAATCTATTATTGCCGTCGGAGAGGTCGTAAAGCGCGGAGCGGCCGGGGCGCGCGCCCTGTGATCTGCGCCTCGTAATGGGACACGGGCTTCGTGTTTGATTTGGCGGCCGGTCGTTTACTGCCGGCGCGGTTCTGAGGAGCCATCAGCGCACGCTGGCTGACGGCGCCTGCAACAGGCGACCACTCTCTCACGTGCAAATTAGGTGCTCGACACAGCGGGCCTGACCCCCGGCGGACCGGTGCATGGCGTATACAGGATAGGCGAGGACTGAAGAGGGCAACGGTATGGGACACATGGCATTTGAATTTTGATTTCACGTATCATACTCGTATCATAACTCGTCATATAGTTCTGCACATGTCTTATGGATTGAAACGGTGGTCGGTGGGCCCTCCTGAGCATTTTAGTGAAGTCAAAGCCAGTCATCCTACTACAAGACTTCTTTCATCGCGGAAGATAATTAATCATTCGGGCTCCTTTCGCCGCTATTTCGGCTGCAAAACTCGAACAACTTCCTGTCGCACTCATATCCCATCTGTCTAGTATCCCTGCCTTATAGATACCGTCCGGGGTGGCCGCACCCTGCCGTGCCCTCCCACCTCGTGTGGCCGTGCCGTGCCCGTGCCTCCCTCCCCGTGTGGCCGTACCGTGCCCGTGCCTCCCCGCGTGGCCGTGCGCGGCCGTGCCGTCTGCCCGTTCCCACGCTGCCGTCCGCCGCCACGCCGGCCCGTTCCGGGCAGCACCGGTAGCCGGCTGTCGTTACCGCGCTGCTGCGACAATGTTTACGAGCGCGCCGATTGTTTCTCCATTCCGGAGCCTTTGTGCGCCACTATCGTAAACCGCCGCGCCGGGACTGCCGCGCAGGGTGGGCGGGGCTACCAGAGACCGGAGTAGCCCGCCGGGACAGAGTGGACAGTCGGCGGACAACGGGAGGACAGCGAGAGGACAACGAGAGGACAGCGGGGGACGGCGCGGACAGGGGCAGCTCAGTAGCGGTGATCGCCTCTTCCGGAGCGGACAATGCGGGGCCGGGCGGCGCGCTCAGCCCGCCCACGGTCGCCGCCGTCCCGGCCGTAAATTACCGGCCGGCCGGGCGCCGGTTTTTGTCTCGTTGCGTCGTTGCTGGCCGGGCCTTGCAGCGGCGCCGGCGCCTTTGATCGCCCGGACACCTGGAGTCGCGTCCACCGGCGCGCCGCCCATCAGCTCGCCTGTCACGTGATGGAGTGCGCGTCATTAGAACGGTGTCACGTGATGCCGCCGCGCATCATCTCGTCTGGAACGCAATCAGCCGCCGGAGCGCGGCAATCACAGACCAGGGAGGGAGAGGAGGGGAGGGTGGCAGATGAGGGGAGATAGTGCACTGCTTAGAACTCCGTAAGGCTGGAATGGTTCTACGTTCTTTATGAACATTTTATGAGTCGCGTTTTATTTCCTGATATAGAAATTACCAAATGTCACATTAAGTATGTACACAAAACATTGAACTACTTGAGGAAATCGATACGAAATGCACGAAGATATTCTATACATCCTTACAAGCACAAATCTGGTCGTAAATAGATTCTACATTTTTATTCACATTACTCGTACAAAACGATACAGCTGTCTCAATGAATAAGGCATTGCGCGTTTGGCTCATTTACTTACAACTCGCATTATTTGTCAAAAGTCGTCCCTAAATGTTACAACGCTTGAATAAGACAGCAATTCATGCCAAGGCAAACAGGGCAAAAGAATAGAAATGCACGGTTACACATATCTTATTTTATTATACCAGGCCATTTAGAACTCACACCTGTGTGTCCAAAAACTCGGCACTTTCTCGGCCGTCTGTCCCGTCCAGTCTGTGCTTGGCAGCTTCCGTGTGGAGGTACAATTAGTATCCGCACGTGCCGACCGCTACCATTACCCCATTAGTCCCATTAAAGCCATTACCACAATTAGCCGGACCACCCCCGTGAATCGCTCTTCGCCCAAAGCAGCCAGAGAGTCTGAGGGCGACCTCTCCTCCTAGAACCGTCCCGCGTTTCCCGGTTGTCGCTTCTGCTGCTGCTGTGGCTTTCGCTTCTGCTGCTGTTGCTGTGGCGGTGGCGGCAGCTGGTGCCGTGATCTCGCTCCTGCCACCATATAAAGAGTTCGGGTGGCCGGCAGCCGGGCCGCCGCCTCACCCGACACATGTTCTCGGCCGAAGGCGATTCGGCACGGCGCCGACCTGAATCGGCCGCGCTCCCAGCCGCCAGATGGATAGCCACCAGATAAATCAGACGCCGCTGCTCGCCGACGCCGGCTGACGTGCGTGCAAATCGCTGAAAACTGATTGGCGATTGTTCAGAATGCACCATGAACGGACGGCTGAGCGGCGGCAGCGGCGCACGCCGATTGGACGCCGCCGCGTGACGTAACCGACCGACGAAACAGAATTAGAGGTGGGAAATTAAAATTCGACGCGTTAATTTTCTACTCTGGATGGTATATTATTTTTAATCTAAGTCTTGTTAGGAGGTGATAAGTGTTGGGAGCCGTGGCGAAAGTGGGGTCGGTACCGAGGAAATCACAAACCGGCCGTGCCGACGCGCTCCTCGGCAGCATTTCTGAAAAATTGACACACATTTTCACGTGCACAAATTTAATTGACTATGACGAGTTCTGAGGTGAGCGTGTAAATCGCGGCGTTAGCACGACTTTCCCATGAATATCGGCTGCCGGGTCTAATCTTGGTTAACGGAAATCAAAGTATGATAGATGGGACATTGTTGAAGATAACCGGCTTGTATTTCCGGACATTGGAAGCTTGCCGACACGTATTGAAGTGTCATATATGAATACCTATCCCGCAGTTATTGTGCCACAAAAAGTTTCCCCCTATAGCTCTCGGATAAGGAGGCACATTCGACCTCTGCTCGTAAATTGTTATCAGAACCTTGTCGTACGATACAAATCGCTTCATTTCACCACTATTGTTTATCAGTGCCGTGTAATAAAATTTTTCGTCACAGTTAGCAGTGATTCCGGTTGGGTGCGGTGTAAATCATGGATTATTGATGAAGGTTTTAGAAAGACAGCAGGACACCCGAGATGAGTGCATCGCTCTTCCCTTGCCCCCGGCAGACCGGTCAACCATAATTCTTGTTTGAGCTTCTGATGCCTCACGGGTCACGGTATAGTGTTACGGGTAGTTCCGCGCAACCGTCACAAATCACGTATATTTATACATCCATACGGTTACGCTTAAAAGTATCACATGTAGGCTGAGCGTGGTTGACATGACTTAGCCTGGTTGAATAAAGTATACCTATGAGCAAGCGTGAATATGATAAGTAAAAATAAAATGTTTTTGCTCCCACCTAAATCAGATAATCTGTTCTTTTCGACTTATTTTCTATGTATTTGCCGCTGAAATTTATTTGAATATTTTTATCAAGCTGTTCGAATTTCACCACCAGTAACATATTTTTCCTGCTTTTCCACAGACTCAATCCACACAATCAATTATGTTCATACGGGTATAGCTGTTTCGTGTCTTTGCGTCTCGTGAGTCGTGACTTACATGACTTTGCTCAACTGTCCCGTGAGTTCCGTGACTTCCGCCGGCCGTGTCTCTCTCTCCCGCCCGGCCCACTGCTGTCTCGGTCTCGGTCTCGGTCTGCCGCCTGTGTGACCGGTAATGAACCTCCCGGACAGCCGCTGTCACATTGTCACCATTAGCGCATCTTCAAACGGACCACGAAAAACGGGCCGGCTCCACTGAGGCCTTTGTGGCGCGCTGCGCGGCGCATTGCGGCGGATGGCGCGGCGGCGTCGCATGTGACGCGAGCTGTGATTAGGACGTCGTAAGCACGGCGTGCTATGGCGTGGTGCGGCGCGACGCAGCGCAGATATACCGACGGAAACAAACCGTGG